GGCTTTGCGGAGGGCTTTCTTATAAAGCAACAAACTATTTCTCCAGGCTAAATGATGATCCTCTAAATTTGTGACACGCCATTTCCTCTCCAGCTTCCCATGATGACGATGCTTCTTCTTCACTCCTTTGCTCTCTGTTCTGGTAGGTGGGCGCTCTTCCCTCAGCCTGGATCTGCCTGAGTTTCTGTCCTCTTAGCGTAAAGAAATAAGGATTATTCAGAGGTCTACTTTCCTACTTGGACTACACAGTTCATCAACTCTGTTTGTTTTTAAATGTATATTTAACTGAATCAAAGAAAGAGATGTTTTAAAAGTAAAACTTCTAGTTTCAGTCAGAGGACAACTGGACACGTTGTTTAGGGATTTCTGTCTGGGCTTTATTTTTAAAGCAATAAAATACAAAGCTACAGCTCTGTGCAGTGGTAGCAGATGTTAACTAAAATGTCCTGCAGAGGTTAGAATGATCAGACAGAAAATGCACAGCTGCTCATCTTTGCTCAGCTCAGTCTGATGCACAGTTTTCAGAGACGCTGTTTCTGTCAGTCGAGGGAGGAACATGTTCATCGTGTGTAAACAGACTGGCAGAAAGCATGAAGTACACCTTTAAAAACAACAATCGAGGGATTCTTCATGAGCACAAACGCTGGAAGTTTAACCAAATAATGTCCATTACTTTCTTCTTCTTCTTATACTTTGTGGGTTCTTGTGAACTTCGTGGGCTGAAAGACGTGAAGATGTGTTTACCAGAAAAACAGCTGAGAGACACACAGCTGATAGACATGTGTCAGTGGGACATTTAAACTTTAGTTTAAACCCACATGTGAATGCAGAGAGCCGGCCTTATCGTCCCGCAGGCGCTGGGTGCAGCGATTAGTCGGTTATCTCCCATCCTGCACTGGAGGCTCAGCCCTGAGCGTAGACAGGAAGGAAGGCCGGCGCAGTGACTCTGTGGCTCCGAGCCACACGGTAGAATAATGCTGCAGATAGTTGTGGGCCCACCGAGCCATTCTGCATGATGGAAAAACACACAGGATCCCACAGACATGACCAGCATATCAAACACGTGCCAATGAAAGGGGGAGCGGGGGCTCCAGAGAGGGAGACGGGAGCAAGTCTTTACCAGGGATCTCTCCTCTGATCTTCTAAACCCTCC